TTAGTAACTAGGGTTCTAAATACGGTAACTATAGTTATATAATTGCTTATCACCGCAATTAGGGTACTTAAAACCTTACTTACTAAGTCCCCTCATCCTCCAAGTATGGAAGGCTCATGATGGCTCCGGGTCTCGGGGTTCAGGGTTGCGGCTTCAAAAGTTACCGGCTGAGGGGTGCAGTTTAAGATATTATAAGTACTGTTCTATATATATATATATATATACATATGTACATGTATATATATATATATATATACGTGTGTATACATACATATCTATATATATATATATATAGAGGGTGTAGGGCTTCAGTTTACGGGGATTAGGGTTTGGGGACTCTGCTCCTGCACTGCCAAGCCCTGCACCCTACACGGCTCAGGGCTTACAGTTTATAGCTCGGGCATGCTTCGCGCTACCCAGTCCAGCGTGTCAAAGGGTTTAGGGTTTAGGGTTTAGGGTGGCATTACAGTACGTACTGCGTATCTGGGCTTTGAAGTAACCAAGGAGGAAAAGAACACAGCTTTATTCGCAATGGCTCCTTTTGCAAGATCCCCCCAAACAGTAATGAAGCATGTGCTGCAGAACTTAGACTTACTTGTCCAGTATCCTACGGGATCTAAAGCCTAACCTTAAATTGGGCTTATGTAGGGGTTAGGTGTAAGCCCCAATCACCGCTCGAAACGCACGGACACACACACAAAAAAAAAAAAGGTTCTGGGTTTCAGGGGTTCAATATCGAAGCCCGGACAGTTGGTAATCACTACTATTCCGCATGGCTCATGGCTGTTGGTTACAAGTATGGTTGCAGTGCGGTATACCCCTAGGCCCTGTCCCTAAGGGTCCATGTGCCCAAATAGTATATACTTTGGCCTTAAAGTAGTCCCTATATAACCCTAAACCCTAAACCGGGTACTTTGGGGCCAAGGTATATACTATTTGGGTACATGGACCCTTGGGGTGTTCTAAATGTTAAGGACCCAATGGGCCTAAGTCCCAGACGATGGCCTCCCCGTCTTTGGTCGGCGGTGCGAATCCTGCAGTTCGTGAGGGTCGAAGCGTTATGCAGGGGCCCTAGTAATTAGAAAAGCCCTTGGGGTATATTAGACTATGATTATAATAAGGAGCCCCCCAAAACCCTATTCTAATTATTCAGGCCCCTACATTAATGTAGAGGGCTGTTAATCTGAGTTGATAAGATCCCCATTTATGGAGTCTTGCTGCAGTTTCCATCACACCTGAAGCACTACTACCTCTGTCGTAGTCTGTCCTGAGTTATCCCATGTTAGTTTCAAGAAGGGAAGATGCCCCGCAACCCGAAGCCTAAACCATCTGCAAAACCTCCCTGAACACAGAAGCAAGCACGATGAGATCGGCTTCATCACGCGGGCAGTATCATACTGTCCCATCTGGTGTAGAAACGAACGGTGCCGGACAAAATTAATTAATCATTAAGTGTAAGTCTGCATGACACTTTGCTCTACTACGAATCTCCTATACTACCTCACTCTAGGCGTGCCCTAAAGCCCTGAAACCTAAATGTGAACCCTACAAGTATCTTCAACCCTGAATCCAGGGTTTCACAACTGCACGCGTGATTTCAAGACTTCTGGGCAAAGCCACCAACGCCCCTACTGAAAATACCTACAACCCTAAACCCTAGCCAAACCCGAAACGGTGCAATCTCGAAAAGCCCATGGCACACCTGTCGACTCCCTACACACTACAAACAAAGCGCAGCAACATCCGAAAACTCCAGACAATCCCCGCTAACGCCCCTAGACCCAAAAGATCGGTTCACGGTTTAGGCCCTAACCCTAAACACTACAAACCCAAAGCCCTAAACCCAAATGTCGGTCCAAAACAACTCAAGATGGAGCTGAGTACCCTAGCCCAAAAAAGGCTAACCTTTTCAATTATGGTAGGATTATTAAAAACCCCAAAAGGTTAAAGGTTGCCTACTCAGCCACTAAGAAAGCAACTCAAGATCCCAGAACCTTGTAGAGTTCAGGGTTTAGGCCCTAAACCCTACTAAACCCTAAACCCTAAGCCCAAATTTAAGTCCAAAGCAACTCAAGATCCCCAAAACCAACTCAGATTCGGTGGAGCCTCACGTCGACCATATGGCCGGCGATCACGGCTGCGGCTCCGACCTTCAACCCCCGGTCCAGGGCTTAGGGTTTAGGGGTTTAGGGTTTAGGGGTTTAGGGGGTTTAGGGTTTAGAGGTTTAGGGTTTAGAGGTTTAGGGGGTTTAGGGTTTAGGGTTCAGGGCTTCAGGGCTTTGGGGGTTTAGGGCTTTTAGGGTTTAGGGTTTAGGGCTTAGGGCTTAAGGGGTTTAGGGTTTAGGCCTTTAGGGGTATGGGTTTTCGGGTTGTAGGGGTTAGTGGCTCGGCCCGATGCTCCAGTTTGGGGGGTGTAGGGTTTGGGGTTCAGGTGGGGGTTAGTCAAGTTAAGGTGGAGGATGTAGGACTTGGGGTTACAGTATACGAACAAGGTATGTTGCAAGTTGGGGTTTAGAGGTTTAGGGTTTAGGAGTTTAGGGTTTAGGGTTCAGGGGGCACTCTTCCAAGGTCGGCTGTTTTTTGGGGCGGCTCCGGCGACTTTACGGGTCGGGTTCAGGGTTTAGGGGTTTAGCTTGAAACACCACACTGCGACCTCTCAACAGATGGACGGTAAACCCTAAACCCTAAACCCTAGCCCTAAGCCCTAAACCCTAAACCGTAAACCCTAAACCCTAAGCCCTAAGCCCTAAACCCTAAGCCAATACTACAAAATGCATTCAGGAACCTCAAGGTACAACACGACGACTTAGTCCGACCCCCCATATTAGGAGGTTTACTTGATTTACTTAGCGTCTTCGAGTAGGGTAAGGGCTCTATGTAGTGTTTGCGCCATGGTGTGCTAGAAGAACTGTAGGCTCGAAGGTTTGGGTTTAGGGTTTAGGGTTTAGGGTTCTCACAAGGCTTCAATGCAGGATTGTACGACTGTCTTGCTTGCATAGAGATACATGAAACTGACGGCTTGCGGCTTGCCGCAAAAGATCCCAACACTACACCCATCTACACACGGCGAGAAAAAATGAAGCCCTACACCCTAAACTCTGCAAGTTGAAACCCCTAAAACTTTCACCCCTACACCCCCAAAGCCCTAAACCCTACGGTTTAGGGTTTAGGGTTCCCTAAACCCTACGCATCCCTAAGCCCTAAACCATGACACCTCGTCCACCGTTGCGATGCCAGCCGTTGGCCATGAACCTGCACCAGGTTCCGCGAAAGGGAACCGGATGGGAGCCCCTCAGACATCTTCCCCTACAATTAGGGCCTAGGGTTTAGGGTTAGGGTTTATAGGGCCTAGGGTTTAGGGTTAGGGTTTATAGGGCCTAGGGTTTAGGGTTAGGGTTTATAGGGCTTTGGGTTTAGGGTTAGGGTTTATAGGGCTTTGGGTTTAGGGTTGGGGTTTATAGGGCTTTGGGTTTAGGGTTTGGGGTTGTTACAATCCCTGTCCCTGTCCCACAAGCCCCTTGTGATGGGAGCTGCAGAAAACAACCCACCTGGCTTGCAATCCCGAAGCCGAAAGCATTCTACATCCCAAACCCTCAAGAGTCGATCCTTTCGGATCCTGCGGTGGGTCCCTTATCAAAGAAATGGCGTGGCTCTTCAGGGACCCAAGCAGAGTTTTTTGAAGAGCGAGCACGTGTGCTACATACGTCTTCGCTCATGGTTGCGTTGAATATCGGGATGTGATTCATTGGTACGACCGGTATAATGACCACCCGTAGTTCCCATCTGATCATATGTACTATAGTGTGACCGCATCGACATGCCAACTATTAAGATCCCTGTATTCCGATTTACGGGTTGAGCGATGGGGTATGGCTGTTGCTGGTGTGGCAATGCTACCGGCGACAGCCATGGTACTACGCAAGTCATGCGGAAATGACGGCGACAAAGATGACGGCGGCAGTCATGATCATGCTGGTTAACTAAATCTCTTGAATCTTGGACAGCATGACTGTGCGACTTGGATTAATGTGAAGTGGGGCTTGTATTATAGATATAAAGAGTGTTCACAGGTCTCCCTAGGCAATTTGGAGAGTGACGTGGGTGCACACTTTGGGGTTTAATTCTGGGAGGACTATTCATAGATACCCACTATCATTGGATGCACGCGCAGCACAGGTTAACACGCCACAGCTTAGGCAATATCGTCGTTGCAGTTGAAGAAACTGCTGCCTCCAGGGACAGGTGTAGGTCTCACAGGTCGGTAGCATGTCCTGGTTACTGTGAATATGTTGTCCCCAAGCCCTAATAAACCCTGGACCCTCAACCCTACCCTAAACCCTAAACCCTAAACCCTAAACCCTAAACCCTAAACCCTAAACCCTAAAGCCCTGTAGTTCAAAGTGGGCCTCCCCTACCGACAGCGCGAGATCGTCAAACGGCCTAGTTAGGCACTGCCTAGACCCTGCAGAACTTACTTTTTAGGGTTCCCTATTTCCCTTCGGTTTAGGGTTTAGGGTTTAGGGTTTAGGGTTAGGGTTTAGGGTTTAGGGTTTAGGGTTTATATACATCCTGCAGAAGAATGGCTGTTCAGGGCCTAGATATACCAACTCTGACTGACGCCCCGAGCCCGGTGCTCTACAGACCTAAAACCCCTCTGATCAAAGTGCTCCTGGCCTCGGCAACGGCTGCGACCTACTCTTCGCCTCGGTTGGCAGCGAGAACAGAACCAACCAATAAATGCATGGACCTAGCTTTCCCGAATTGGCTAGAGTAAATACATAGATAGGTAAGCTAAGGTGATAACCAAGAGGAACAATGAACACACAGAGACAATTTTGTTACAGGTCGTTTGGCTGCCTTCTATCTTACGGTAGTCAGTACAGGCACTAGGCACCATAGTCTGCTGTCCCAACCTATACCCTACCTACATCTTGCAACCGCCGACTGATCTTTCAAACGGAAACTACTCCTTCTGGCAAGCCCTGTAGTGCTGTCCAACCATAGCTACCTCTGACATAAATGAGCCGAGTGGCAGAGGAATGTCTGAAAGCAAGCCCTGAATTAAAGGAGACTACAGGTGGGGAGTTTAGGGTATATACGGCTTCTATAAGGCTTCCATAAGGTATATAGACCTTCTATAAGGCTCCTATAACGGTAACTACCCACCTGAACATGTCCTAGACTGAATCCCGAACACAAAGCTGAACACTAACGCCAAACCGAAGGCATGAGTTACTACACGCTGAAATTTTGGACGAGGATCTACAATCAAGAACTCCCACACATTCAAACACACATACACTGAAGCCAGAACCCTAAACCCTAACAATAAGCCTTTAACCACCCAAAAACCCTCCGAAAAACAAAACACCCTGCACATACGCAGAGAATTATCTTATCACATGCAGGAAAATCAACAACAAGCAAAGAGCCACACGCACACACACACACACACACACGCGCGACAATTTCTGGCGCTGAACCTCGCATCCTAAACTTTCATTGAACCCTAAGCCGCAACCCTATGATGCCCCAAATGGGCCACAAATCGAAAAATCGAAAACTCACACCATAAACCAACAAAAGTCCAAACGCCCGAAAACTACCCTCAAACCCTAAAGCGCCTAAGAGCCCTTACTTACCGAAACGAAGCCTAAGACGTTTTCAGAGAGTGGCAGCTGCTCCAGGTATGAGGGGCGCAAAAGAAGGCCGGCCCGGGCCAGCGTGTTGCCTTGCCTGCTTTGGAGTGTACCGTTTGCGGCTGGGGATTTGGGGTTTAGGGTTTCGGGTTTATGGCTTGGGATTTGAGGCTTGGGGTTTCGGGTTTGGCTTTAAGTAGGGTTAATGCTTTGATTTAGGGTTTGCCTGCTTTAGGGGTTCGGGTTTGGGGTTTAGGACTTTGGGCTCGGGGCCCTCATAGACCCTAAACCCTAAACCCTGAAGCCCAAGCCCGAACGCACCACGTCAAAATGTACGGATCGTAAGGAAGATCGCGGCTGGGTAGGTACATACCTATATATGCATGATGATTGCATACATACATACGAGCATATGTATGTATGTATGTATG